TTACAAAAGCTGTTTCTGAAAACATCTGAAGGCATTATCGGAAGTTAATGCCAATCTTTTAAATAAGTTTATTGTCTTGCTGAAACTGAGAATTGCAGTAATGTGGATAAAACCAAGAGGAAACAGCAAGGGGAAGGGCTCATCCAGGCCCACATGGCAGTGCTGAACCAGGGCTTGGTTTCCTCCCAGCGCCCTGAGTGCCCAAGATGCTGTGGAGCTCTTGTAGACCATGGAAAGATTCAGTTTACTAATTGTATTTCTGCCACAGAGAGTGGGACTGGCTGTGTCTCTTTGATGTCTTTCACATGTTTTAAAATAAGAAAAACTATTTATAATTCAACCATAAAACCAGAATTCCCTGAGCAAGACAGGAAGCTCAGGCTTTTATCTGCTGTTTTAGAGGCTGTTTCTCCACAAAGTAGGACATAAAGTGAGTTGGCTCGGAAAATAATCCTTTTTTTTTTTTTTTTAAAGTTCCATTGTCTTTCAAATTCACTTCCCCTCCCAGTGTGAGGGGATCAAAGGCACACAGTTAGGTGTCTGAAATGGATGAGTTCAGGTAGGTTGAAAAATTTTTAAATGCCTCATTATTTTAGTATAAGCCCTCAAAGCAACACAAGGAAAGCAAGAGGAAACCTACATCAACCCTCAAAGCTTGATGGAATTGAACACAGCAGATTATTCATTGGTTTCTTATAGAAACAAAGGGAAACAAATTAGGCTGTTCACAGCAAAATTTCCGATTTGGTTAGTAAGTCAAAACATCCTTCCTGCCTCTTCCTCAGCCTGGGGGTCACAGCTGTGCCACTGAACATGGGGTGTCAGGGACAACAGCCTTTTTTGAGAAAGACAGAGAGATTCTAGAGGAAAGAGAGGAATTATCAACCTCTGCTGTATCAGTGAACCGTATTTTCATAGTACATACTGAAAATCACTAAGAATTTTTTTAAGTTTTACCACAGCACCCTTCTTCTGGATTTAAGGACAGAAAAATATTAGAAAATAACAGTATGAGGAGTTGTAACTTCATCAGGTCATCTGATCTTGGACAGGTGGAGGTGGTAAGATATCTAATAAACAGTTTAGGAGACTTCAGCAGGAACAAACGTCCAATAACTTTTAACTTCAATATTTTTGAAATGCAGACCTGTATTAGTCTTCCCCAATTTACCTGATTTTCTCTTCATATGTAATTCAAGTCTCAAAAAGTTCTGGGAATGGTCAGGAACAGGAAAGAAATATGAGAGGTTTTTCTTTCTGCTGGTCAGTGATCACTTCTCATTGTCGTCCTACAAATGTGCCATCTCTTCAAAACTAGTTCACTGTTCACTTGCTGATGTTGCTTAGAAACTAATTTTCTAGAATTCCACATTTTTCAGTGTGCTGGCAGATAAACACAAAGTAACTGATAAGTCTGTGAACCCTTCTGGCAAGGAAGGTGTAGGGTGCAGCAATGTATGATGATGCAATTCCTGATGAGCTGAAATTTTGGGGATCTTTGATGTGGGATGTACAGATCCCAACAGCCTTGGTGCTTTTCAATATTTGAGTCTTCTCTTCCTGACTGAAGATGGTGTGCATCAGAAATACCTGTAAATTGGGAATGCAGGAGCAATATTGATGTTTGCTGTGCATTCCCCAGTGCAGCAGGGTGGTGACAAAGCTGGAGGCTCCCTCTGAAGGCTGTGAGGTGTGTGAGGTGCCTGGGCTGTGAGCAGGCAGCAGCCCAGGGCTGCAGGGTGGCTCCAGGGCCAGGGGATGGATGTGCTCAGCTGGAAGCTGGCTTTCCAAATGGTTTGCCACATAAAAATAAATAAATAAAGAAACCAAGCAAGCATGTGAGGACAGATGAGGTTCCTGATTTGCTTGAATGCCCAATGTGTGTGTGAAAAATCTGTGTGCAATTTTAGCACCACGGAAGCACCAGAAAAGGCAATCTTTATGCTTTCTGTCTGACTCCTTTTGCCCTGGGGATTCTCATTCCATACTTGCCAAGCAAACCATTTGATTAAGTGCTAAACTTGAAAAAAGTAAATAGCCTATTTAAACATGTTAAGCACAACCTGTCACCTACTTAGATGCTAGTTAAACATAACCTATTTAAATATGCCTTCACCTAAGTCCATGTGCATCTTGTTTCATGCCACATACCTTGCAAATGAAATGGCTTATAATAACAAAAATGAGGTGATAAAATACAAGTACCACCAGCTTTTCCTAAAAAATGCAATAAACACTCATATGGGGTTTCAAATATGTTGTACTGCCAGTCTGTGGCATCCATTAACATCTGAGAGAAAAGGAAATTCATTAACAGAGCTCCACAGCTGGCACCTGTACTGCACTACCAATTACTGCTCTTTGTCAGAGACTTTAAAACGTTTGCACATCTCCTTCATTTCACCAGGCACCTGAATTTGTCCTCTGTATTTTCTCTTGAGTTCAAAATCTGTCTGGAAAAGGAAGCAGGGACTGGATGTAGCTCATCTTTATCACTTCCCATCTCCTTGCCCAGTGTTCCTGTACAATCTTTGTGCTGACTAACAGGATAATCCCATTCTGCGCCCCCTAGCAGAGGCAGAGACTGTTCCATACTCCCCCCCACCACCTTGTTACGGGTCTAAGTGCGGGAAAGCTGATGAGCTTTGCAGTCTGGGGCTGGCAGTGACGTGGCTGTGGGTTGGTATGATGTGTCCAGCTCAAGTGTGGCCTCACACTGGGATCTCAGTGAACCATTTGACATGGGTTTTCCCACTCCCACCCTGTCCTTTACACTGAGTTCATAAGTTCCTTACAGTCCTGTTTGGGTCTGTGAGTATGGAGTGCAGTGGCTCTGCCCAGAGCAGTGACACACTGCTACAATGTACGTAGCTAACAATGCCACACAAAATATTCCACCTGCCTCTCCTCCAGGACAGGAGGGAAAGAGGCTTGGAATAGGAGTTTTAGTCGAGCTGTAGATTAAAAATTGAGGTTTATGCGCGGAAGGTGATTTTTGCCCCCTTATCTTATGGCTCTTTTTGGGAGTCCAGAGGGGCAGATTGCTTGCTCTGTCTTTATGAGCAGATGAATGGTGATTTATTACCATTTCCATTAACTGCTCCTAATGCAAAGAGGAAATGTTAGAAGTCACTCCTCCCTGGAGGAGAGGTGATGCTTGACCTTCTCTTGGAAGAGGGAAGGGAGGAGGAGAAATGCTAGGAGAGGATGTTCTGCTGGGATGCTGTCACTGGTAACAGCAGTGACCTTTTCCCTGTGGTCAGCAGGTGGCATCATGAAGATAAATTGCTTCAACTTGCAAGTTAAAAGATCTTTGTGCCGAGCAAGAAAATGAAAATAAAAACCTTCCAAAAGTCAAGCAGTGTTGCAACTTCAGTTCATATTTTCTAATTCTCTTATGGAAATAGTTGCTGTGCATGGAAATGCGAGGCATCTATTGTTATTTGACAACTAAAACTGACTGGTGATGGATGTCTTGTAGAAGATTTTACTTGCCAGGTTGCACCAAACTCCTCTGTCATTCTAGTGAGAATGAGAAATACTTGAAGGATCCAGGCACTCCTGTCCTTAGGGGTCACTGCCACTAAAAAAAGGATTTTTTCCCCCCATTGAATCTCAGAGTCTCTTCAGGAAGGGTAATCAGAGAAGTACATATGGTTCTACTCCATCCATACCCATTTTCCCTTCTAGCACTATCCACTCAGTAGTACCTTAAGGTCAACATAAAATAGAGTCTGCAGAGCTGCCGTGGTGATGGCTGCAATTCCTCCCTTGTGGTTCCAAGTGATCTGGAAGGGCAGCTCTGGCAGGTACCTTCTAATTTACTGCTCAACCTCATTTTCTGCCCATGGAGTTTATAGGGAAGGTCAGTTGTCACATCTCATTTCTTTAACATTGTCCTTATTCTCTTTATTGCAAAGCAAAAGTGGGATCAAATGATGAGTCAATGTATGAGGGGAAAGAAGAGCAAAAATATTGGAGCAGCAATGTTTTAGATGTTGGCATTCAGTGCCTGTTAGATTTCTGCAGGAATGTGGACAAAGACACGGGAAGTAGGACATGAGCTCAAAGGGTGTGCACATGGAGCACTCAATTCTGCTGCAAACCAGAGCAGTCCCTGTTTGGCAGCTGAGCAGCTGCCTTTGGTCTCTGGAGAGCAATATTCCTGCTGGTAATTGAACTGTGGGTGTGCAGGCTGTCACTGAGCGGGGCAGGTCACAGAGGTGGGCACAGACCCATCCCAGCTGGGACCGCAGTGCAGGGAGCTGGGAGCACAGAGCTGCCCAGCCTCCCTGCACACGGGGCCAGCCAAGGCCTCAGGGCTCAGCCCTGGCTGCTCAGCGCTCACTGGGATGTGCTGGGAGCCTCCCAGGGAATGCCCAATGCCTGCTGGCTCACCCTGTGGGATGAGAGTGCTGCCAGTGCATCCCCAAGCTCATTCCCCTCAGGCACTCCCCTGCTAACTCCCCAGTGGGAATCAGGAGCAAGAGCTGCTGCTCCCAGGTTAGGGGACCGGGATGCAGATTTCAAACACTGCCACGTTTGTTGGTCTGGGGACTTGAAAAGAAGGGCTGGACCTTTCTTGGGAAGGAAGGGGATCAATCTTGTTTGGAATAGGTTGCAAAAGAATTTAGGAAGAGCTCCCTGCTAATTTCCTTACCTCTGTACCCTCCCACATCTTGCCTTCAGTCTTACACATTTTTGCATTTCTAGGCTTATTAGAATGAGTTGTCTTAATATTAAAATACTTTCCAGAGCTGAAGGAGTTAACTGCTTACACTGAGGACAGCTCTCTCCTTTTTATTTTATCTTTAAAATATTTTTAATGACACTGTGAAAGCCACAGAGCTGATATTTAGCTGGTCCTAAGTAGTGAGACAGAAAGCCTCCAGTGCCAGGGGCCATCACTGACATTGCAAGGGCTGCAGAGGGAGATGGATTTGGTTCTTTGAGGAGAGGCACAGGTGATTTGCATCCTAATAGCACAAAACACATGGAAAAGGAGTGCTTAAAGGCTTTTATATGAGGAGTAACAGCCCCAACAGGATGGTTTAGTTGACCAAAACGAGGATGAGGTGCACTCCAGAGCAGGCACTGGTCAGGAGCACTGCCCATCTCTGTGCCGTGCAGACGTGTCATTTAGGGAACATCCTGGAGCTGAAAAGCAAGCAAAGGTGGATTATGCTAGTCTTCATTGCTGGGTTGCCTCCCCCAGCCCAGGGAATTATTTTTCTTATAGATAATAACCAATCATTCCCAAATGCATCACTTGAAAGGTCTTTAGGCTGCACGCCAGGATTCTGGAGCTAATAGGGAGCCCCGGGATGGGGATGGATGGGCTTGGTTGCAGCCTGGAGATATTTATGTGTGTGTACACACCGTATTTCAGACAGCCAAAGCAGCGTGCTCAGACTCAAATTTACCATGGAAAGGCTCTAAACCCATTTTCAAAGCGGCAACATAATTTAAAAGGCCTTGCAGTGCCTGAGATGACTCAAGTACCAGCCCTCCCTCCCCATGCCCGTGTCACTCACACCTCACCTTGACTGCAGGTGGCGGGATGTGACGGATCGGGGGGAAGGGACAGCAGGGGGTGGCGGCGGCTGTGACAGCGAGGGGACAGCGCTGGAGCACGGGAGGGGCTGCGGCCCGAGGCTCCGGAGAGCTCGGCACGGCTCGGAGGGGCGGGATGGAGTGCCGGGGACGGGGGGTGGCACGGGGCGTCCCCTTGCCGGGGTTGTTCCTGCCGGGGTGTCCCCTCCCGGGATGTCCCCTCTCGGGGTCCCAGCCGTGTCCCTGCCATCAGCCGGGGCTGTCCCCTTCAGGGGTGTCCCCTCTCGGGGCTGGCCCTTTGCCGGGTTGTCCCTCTCGGGTCCCAGCCGTGTCCCTGCCATCAGCCGGGGGTGTCCCTGCCGGGTTGTCCCTCTCGGGCGTCTCCTCCCGGGGCTGTCCCCTGTAGGGCTGTCCCTTTCAGGGTCCCAGCCGTGTCCTTGCCATCAGCCGGGGCTGTCCCCTTCAGGGGTGTCCCTGCCACCAGCCGGAGCTGTCCCCTCCCAGGGCTGTTCCTTTTAGGGTCCCAGCCGTGTCCCTGCCATCAGCCGGGGCCGCTCCCGGCGCTCCCAAGTTTCCGTCCAGGAGCGCTCGAGCTCCGCTGAGGGCAGAAGCGGTTTCTGTGCACAGCCGTGAGCGTCTGAGGGACTGCCTCTGTGGAAAGCATCTCCTGGCGCTGCAGAAAGTGGGACAGTCCTCCTCTGCCCGTTAGGTTGTTACTGTGAATGGATTGCGAAGACAAAAGCTGTAAGTCAGCCCTTTTTCCTTTGCTGTTTAATATATAAAATCTCTGCCGTGTGCGAGCCTGGTCTGTGCAGGATCCATTCCAGCGAAGGGAACTTGGCACACACACTGCAGTATCATCCCCCTGCTGCAGTAGATGTGCTGTAACAAAATGAAATTCATTGTCTGCTCCCGGCAGGAGCCCGTCCATCCATCTGCTACCTATCATTGTCTGTCTGTCTTAGGAATTTAAGCAGCCACCTTCCCCTGCGCCTGTCACAAGGAGGCAGCAATAATAGCAGCCTTTGACATGGCCAGCCCTTTTCTCTCTCCCTTTTCAAGTCTTTGTTAAAAGCAGGGATTTTCTGTGGGGAGAAAGAACAGACAGAAAGAGTGTTCATATTTTAAATGACTTCAGGGAAAAGGTTTTTCACACAGAAGAAAGATCCAAGGGACCTGATTTTCTCTGGGTGGGTCAGTCCCCACTGGGCCGCCTGGCTGGATGAACCTTTCTCCCAGCTGCAGGGGCCTTGGGCTCTGCCCCAGAGCTGCTGTGTGTGCACAGGGGGTGTTTTGCAAGGGAAATGAAGGCATTGACATAGCCACAGCTCCATCTGTGGATATTTTTGAAAAATGGACCTCCATTTCAGAGTGGTAACAGAGAAGGGGCCTTATTCCCAGCCCTGGTGTGCTCAGGGCTGCCCAATTGTCAGACAGCTGTGCCTCCCACCAGCTGCTGCTCATGTGTCACAGCTGGGCTGCAGCTACAGCCTGCAGGACATGGCTGCAGTGACCTGGCTGCAAGGGACAGCTTGCAGCTAACTTGAAGTCACCAAGTTATAGCCTTAATGGGAAAAGGAGTGTTCAGCTGCCATCACCCAAAGCAGTTGGGTGGTGAACTTGCAGGTGAACCTGCACTTCACCTTTGTGCTTTCCCAGACAGGCACCATCTCCCACTCCACTGCTTGTTGGTGGGATAGGGGGGGACTGGACTGCAGGGGTGCAGTGGGGAGTATCAGGGTGCCAAGGCATAAAAAAAGAACTAGGAGACCAGAATTTAGAACTGAGGAAAAGCAAATGTCTTCTTGTCATTCCCCAGTCTCTATGGCAAACCCTCTTCTGGGTATGAATGGGGTTTTTTTGGATTCTCATCTAGGGGAACAGGAAGGTAGGGCTGCAAAGGTCAGAAACCAAGGTTTTCAGCTCTTTGTTCTCAGCAGGGATTCCTCCTGTGCCTCAGTGCTCCTCGGTACCCTGAGCCATGTGGGCTGTGAGCTTTGGAGGGGAAAAGGAGAAGCTGTCCTGGCAGTGTCTGTGGAACATGACCTACCCTGAGTGCCATTGCTTCAGCTCGCAGGGGGTCACCCTCAGCAGCTATTCTTGATCTGACAGTGAATTTCCTGGGTTGTTCTGACATTTCAGAGCTGGTTGTGTCACTTGAAAGTGAGCCTTGTTGCTGAATTTCACAGGCACAGAGCCTGCAGCGTGCTCTGCCCTGCTCTGAGCAGAGCCCTGCAGGGAGGCAGGGGCAGCACGGACACCCTGGGGAAGGGACAGAGGAGCCCTTCACTCCCTGTGTGGCCTGAACCCTCTGAAACCTTGCAGGCATCATGCAGGCAACAAAGCCTGCTAAAAATGTGGCATCCTAGAACAGTTGCCAGCTCCATGGGGAGGCTGATGGCAAAATGAATCTCTTGGGTTTGACTGCTGTGCTCTTGGAGCTTGAGACGCAGAACAGGACTCAGGACTCCTGGGTTTAAGTCCTGTAAAAATTTGGCTGCCTTTAGGCCTCATAAGAGACATTTAGTAACTTTTTGCCAGTTAAAAATTAAATATATGAATTATAGAAAATCCTAGTAGAAATTATGATGGTGGCTATTAAGTAAGCAGTTAATCTTGAAAACTGGAGCTTGAAAAGGTTAGAGAAACTTAGTCTGGAAGTGTACATATATGATAAATATTGGCCAGATAATAAAAAAAAAAAAGCCTAAATAGGGAGCCTTGGGCTCCCTATTAAAACTAAAGACATTTATATGGAGGTTTGTTTCCTTTGTGAGGTGGTTGATCCTTAGGGTTGCTAAATGGTACTACATCAAACGAAAAGGTTGAGGCAGTTTGAAAAGACAATTCCACTCCAAAGAATCCAAGAAGAGTGCAGAATAATGCCAGTATTTTTCAGCCTGCTTTATAGAGATACATCACTTAAATACTGCATTGTGGCAAACAGACAGAATGGGTACCAGAGGGGACAAAAACACACTGAGCCCAGCTAATGCTCAGTTTGGTGAGGTATTTCCCTGCAGATATTTCACTTAGTCCCTCTGAGGAACAGCTCATCAATAAACAAGTTGGCAGCTTGGCTCTGGGTCCAGTTTTCAGAGGGCTCCTGAGATGGTTCTGGAAAACTGGGCTTAAGGAATTGCACAGCACAGGCAGCTGTGGGCAGGTGCAGTGAACACCTCATGGCAGGTCAAGCTGTGCTGCAGCTAGGTGCCCTCCTGGGCATTGCTTTGTGTCCTGGAGAAAAGCTCTGAATTGAGCCAGGCTTGCAGGGGTTAAGCCACCTTTGGAGTTCTGGAGCCAAGAACTTCATGGTTGTAGTGTCCCAGATTTCACTGCTCAGGAAATGTGTGGCTTTCTCCACAAGACCTTGATTCTCTCACTTCTCCTTATCTTTAGAAGATGCAGATCCCTATATAACAGATTCTAGGTCAGCTCTGGGCCAAAGATGGAAACCCTTTTGCAAGACCAAGCCATCCTTCATGAGACCCTTTGGACATGTTCAATTCCCAGGCTACTAAATGTATGCAGTGACCCTCTCCATAGCAACCAGTGAAAATGTCAATAATCTCTGTTATAGGAAACCCTGGGAAATTCACCTAGGAGTGAATACAGATTTCACTGGTTTAAGCACTAAGACAAAAGCTTTTCAAGGATCAGCCATTCCACTGCCAAATGAAAACAGCTTGAAAAATATATTAAGGACATTTGAAGAGTTTTAGTAATAAAATAAAACATTTAATAAAGAATACTTTGCAGTTCTGTATTGTCTTTCAGCAGTGATTTAGCATCAGGGTGCTGCCTGGATATTGCAAAGAAAGGTTTACTAGGAATACAACAGGTAATAAATTAAAGAGATTAAATCTCATTCCCATGTGTATGTGTTAATAAAATATCCCCATAATACTCCTGGAATACAGGAAGTATAAAAGACAACAGTGAAAGTATAAAGTGGAAATAGAATGTTGTGAGTGACTAAACTAATCAGTGGATTAATGGACAGCCAGTGTGAGCAGAGTCCTGCTGGCAGCTCACACAGATCTCAGCAAAGCTCACTGTTGTATGTGGAGAATAAAACTGACCTTGGTATGAAGGGCTGCAAAATGTCTGAATGCACTTCCCTGAAATGCTGTGCATAAAATTAATTCCATCATTAATAACTGACCCATGCTTTCCATTCTTAGGAATCCAATTCACCTTCTGGCAACCTACTGACCAAGCAGCAGGATAGTTTCTGGAACAGGAGGGAAAGTAGAACTGCATTATATTGGTACCTGTTCTCTCAATACAGGGAGAGTAGGGGTAGATCTTTAGCAACATCAGTCTTTCAGAGGAGTTTGCCAGCAGAAAAAGTTTGGATACCTTAGTGCCTGCAGAAACCTAGCTCAAATGTGTTGTCCAAGTTAGTTGTTAGAGGATAGAAAGCTCATGCTTTGGCCTCTGACAGCCTTTACCCCTTGTTTTTTTGATTCCTCACACAATAAGTCAACTGGAAATTGTTCTGCTTGTCTCTGACAGCACTTTCTTAGCAGCCTGTGTTTTTGGGGCTTTCAAGCATTTGTGAATTGCTTCTATTCTTAACATTGCAATATATAGAACTGGAATGGGTGTCTTTCCAAATTAATCTTTGAAAGCACGGCTATGTTTTTCTTCATTTTCATCTATGTCCTTTTGGATAGATCGTGTCTGAAAAGATGGGCATGTGCACATGTACGTGTACACATGTATGTACAGACTCACAGACACATATTTAACACCCAATCTGTCCAAATGCAAGTTTTGAAAAATATCAAATCTATTACTCAGAGATCATAAGAGGATTGAAATTATAAGGCTTTTTTAAACATATGTTATTTTGAGTTCAATGTATACTTGCTTCAAGCTGCTCTGTGCAACCATGGAGATGAGAAAAGTACTTTCAGAAAATGAAAGCCGGAAATTTTTGAACAGGATAATTCTAGTAGCTGGGGCTGTAAGTGGCTTATTAAGAAGTCTTGGAACTTTGACTGATATGGCAAATTTGACAACAGTGAATAAGAAAGAGATTTGCAGAGTGCAGTTGTGTGACCCTGGTTACCTGTCAGCTGGCAGGATGCAAATTCCCCTGTACAGCTACGAGCTGGCTTCATTTCTTATGTCTCGTTCTCCTGTTCATTACCTTCTAGTCCTTAGATAATGGAAAAGATGAAAGCTGGCACATTTTCTCCTTTTGAAAGACTCATGTGCAAGGGTAATTCACTGGTGAATGAAGGAGGATAACCTGGAACAAAACAAGACCAAAGTCCTGATATTTCACTGGGGTCTGACCACAGACACCTCGTTATGTCAGCAACTCCAGGGCATGCCAGGCTAGGAAAATTGGACAAACATGGGTTAGAGAACTCAAGGAGAGGGATGGGATTTTAAAGAAAGGGTGTCTAGAATTAACATCAGAGTCTGTCAAATGCTGGAGAAATCTAATCAAGTATGTAGAAAGAGAGAGAGGCTGAGATTTAGCATTTAAGGAGCGGTTTTCCTTTGACTGTTGGGAGAGGATTAGGGTGTGAATGCTCACATCAATCCAGAGAGCATCCCCACTGCAGCAAGGAAGGCAAAGCACAGGCATTCATGAAGTGCGTCTTACCTTGAATTGTTCTTTTTATTTAGTGCCAGGCAATGAGGAATTGTGTTTAGAAACCTTCAGGTCAAAGGTTCCTGAATAGTTATGCTCTGAAGTTCTGGAGGATAATGATCTAGCAAAATGT